ATGATACGAGGATGACTCTTGGTCTTTTATTTTGTATAAATATATCATCAGGTAATAGAACATCCCGTCAATATATAGTTGGTACAAGCATTATTTGCAGACAAGCCAAAGGACTATCAAAGAAAGAAGTTAGAGAAAGCCATACTTGGAGTATACAGTAAAAGCAAACAACAGTTGAATCAATCACTCACCGCGTATTTCCAGAACAGATCGTCGCGGCCCCTACCCTACCCTCCCATTGCTGGGAGAAACTCCACTTTCGTCTGGGCTCCAGAACCTATCATAGATGCAATTATCCCCTCGCTCGCTCTTCAGACGTTTTCTTGCGTATATTTTGCCACTAACCGTTCTCTGTGACGCCTCCTCTTATCCGTGTACGTGACCTCACCATACTGCCCAATCCCGTATGGCTGCCTGCTACGGCGACATGACCCTGACAGTCATCGCGTTTAGTTGTGGCCGCGCTCCACTGCATAGTCTCTACGTGTTGCCGACCCGTGCCCTGAACCTAACGTCTATGCGCGGCCGGTGGTCAGTTTATCGAGTCATTTCCAGGACTCAGCAAGCGGTCACAGGGAGTACAGGATCAAGAGGTGGGCGCAGGTCACGATTTACTGGAGAGATGCATGCGCAATCGAACTTACCATGCTTTCGCTCTTCCACTCGCAAGGTAAACCAAAATTTCTTTCAGGCCTTCCGACAAAAGAGAAAAAGGTTAGGCATCGCCCAATCCGCGAACCAATCCTGATAAATCTTAACAACTACAGCAACGAAAGCACGTAGAAAATCAAGTTATTAAGACGTAAATACCAGAAGAAGGCTACCCTAGTTGAAGAAGTACAGAAAAAAAATAGTTACCCTGTAGTCGTCACGCATATCCGTCCGACGTCGCTACTACTACTACTACACACGCAAAATCAACGACAATGATTAAAAGAAACGTTGGTGACGCATTGGAAGGAAAAAACAAGTTGGAGATCATTGAAATTTGAAAGGTGTTTTAAAGTAGGAGGAAAAACTTACACTGCAAAGGTTCCATAGTACACCGCGTGTGTCAAAAGCAGATTCGCCGACACTGTCGTCTGTCATTGTTCCCCGCTTTGTTTAGCACGGAGCTGTGGGTGGGCAAAAAAAAATAAGGAACTTGTCGTGCACATAAAAAAAAGGCGAAGCAAAAGCGGTAAAACGTTTATAAGAAGAGTGCGAGAAGAGAAAGATTTGTTTATTGTGTTTATCATTTTCTTATTTGTGTGTAATAAATAATAAGTAATAATAATAAAAAGCTCGTTCTAATTATCCCAACATATACCGTTGGCATCACATGCACCCGAAGGTGCACGATCGGCCGGAGTATATGACCACATTCCCACTGATACATTGCAAAAGATTTCCTATGACCGGACCACTGAATCCGGCCAATCCTCAGAATCCTCTTGACAATCCCCAGCACAAGCAATGACCCGATCATGGCACCACACAGTGAATCTGTACTACAGATCAAAGCTGTACCAAAACGAACTGAAGAGAAGAGAAAAAAGAAAGGCGAAATTGCTCGCTTTATATATAGGCAGCCAGGGGGACCACGGGAAAAAGGCTGAGACCAGGACCGACAGAGGCAAGACCAGGACCAAGGGAAGAGCCAGAGCGAGGGGAAGACCAGAACCAAGGGAAGAGCCAAGAGAAAGACCAGGAGGATCCAAGGGAGTGAAGGGAAAAGAAAAGTGAAGGAAAGAAAGAGTGGAGAAAAAAAAATAAAATGCCCTGGCGTATTTATATTTTTTTTTTTTGGTTTTAAAAAAACACGTCCAGGCCCGTGCTAACAATACAGGCAGCAATAGCAACACGATCACACTTTTTTTTGTTACTTTCACACTTTTTTTGTTACTTTCACACTTTTTTTGTTACTTTCACACTTTTTTTGTTACTTTCACACTTTTTTTGTTACTTTCTGTGGTCGCGTAGTCGTGTTTGCGAAATCAATCGTAACGAAGAAAAATGTTCGGAGGGTACGTGCCGAAAAACTGGTTTTTTTAAACTAAAATAGGTAAGAACACCCCTCCCCCCACCATCAACAGGCCCGTGCTAACAATACAGGGAACAATGGCAGCAATAGTAATACGATCACAGCACTTTGACACTTTTTTTTTTGTTACTTCCTGTGGTCGCGTAGTCGTGCTCGCGAAAATAATCGAAAAGAAGAAAAAAATTGTTCTGAGGCTACGAGCCCACCATCCTGTTTTTTTTGTTTTCTTTTTTTTTCACATGTATCATACATCAGCTGAGGGAAGTGGTTGATAAAATGACCAGGCCAAATATTGAAGCAGCCTGTCGTGGGTATATACTTGATACTTGATTAAGAGTGCGTCTTTTGTTTGTTACACACGCCACCACATCGCACCATGGTTAATCCAACAACGGCCGAGACTTTCTACAATGGCTCATTTATCCCATCAGGAAGCTGGATACGACCATTCAGCACATACTTACTCCAAACCAAAAATGATGTATATTTCGCCAACACCTTGCGCGAATATATCGTTATCATCCGAAGCTATTGTTCACCGGCCCAATATCGACGCGGTACAAATCCAAAAATAATCTCGTATTCAACATAAGCAACATTGACGGTAGACACTGTACCGAGACCCTTTGAGCCCTGGCTTGAGCTTGGCGCTAACCAAAACTAGTACACGCCCAATCATTCTGATCATAAGTATTTTTTTATGGTCTGGAGGCAGAACTTATTCCCAACAGAGTGTCCAGAGGAGTGACGGACTATTGGGTGTGAATACATGTATGAGAAAATGAGGAACAGAGAAGTGACGGAAAAGAGAAACCTATTTATATGTGCGGTGATAGATGGCAGTGGCATGAGCAGCTACTGCCTGCGGAATGAAAGGGTGGCCTTCGAATATGAAAAACCAATGTGCTGACCAGATCGCTTGAACGATGGCGATGCATAGAAGAGTGGTTTTGGGTTGGGAGCAAAAGCGACGTGCGAAGACAGCAGTCTTCATCGCATGTGCGATAGCCGGCAGGCGTGGATCGGCACAGTGAAACGGTGCCCGAACCAGCTGATGATAAGTATTGATTAGCTTGCATAACACTATCCGCTATCATCGCCCATCCGCTCGTTTCCACCTGCCACTGCCAGGTGCCTTTTTTTTTTTTGTGACAAGACATCCATTCTAAGTGCATCATAAGCAGACCTTCTCTTTCTAAATTATCGTAAAGGATATCAAGAGATCACTAACGACATACGCCTATGCATCATATTGCGTCAGTCCATACAGTATCGGCTTATAGCCGCCCCTCGTTGTACAGGTGTAAGATCTTCCACATTCATGATATAATGGCAATCGTACTGCTACTGCTTACATAAGCTGGATAACCCGAATTTAGTAAGGGCAAGATTTCAAGGGTCGCGCATAAACGTGTCAGCATCGTAAATGTCGACAGCAAAAAACTTTCAATGTTCATTGACGCAGCATAAAACGCTTAATAGCGTGTATTATATATTCTGCTCTTTTGACAGTTACTTAACAAATAATAAACACATTGTGGATTACTACTCGTTTCTGCTAACGCTGTTGTTCGTGAACAGGCGTGTATCCATTACTGAAAGGTGCTGTAAACCGCGAGGGCGTTCGATCCATTCTCAATACGCGTGAATATCAGTTTTTAACCTGCTGCCAACAGCATTTTTTTCGTTAAAACGCTCAGAATCGATCCACCAGAGTTGAAACATTATAATAGTTGACTCCTTTTTTGTATTACTGGCCTGCCTATCACTTTACTGCGAATTGATCATTCACTATCATTTTGAATAAAAAATTTTCTTTGAGAAGTCTATGAAAAGGGGACAATCTGATACGCCTAGAAGAAATCATATGATGGCAATGTAAAAAGCTTCGCTATCTAAGCTCCGTTGTAGTGTATTGGGCAACATGTCCGGTAATAACTTACACTGCCGAAGAAAACAATCATCAAACGTTATAAAACGATACAAGGCATTTAAATGGATTTCGTTGCAAAAGAAGATCATTAAAATATCGCACATTGGAGAAAACCAAAATGCGAAACTAGGTCGACTAACACGCATCAACTACAACACTTATTTGCCATGGTGGTGATCATTGCGTTACTTTAATTATCGAGAACAAAAGTAAAAGATCCAAGCAAGACCGTGATCCGACAAACGATCAAGATCTAAGCAATTCTTCCAACCACCTTGCGTTTCTCGGGGAGCGTTCAGCTTTTCCGGAGCATACACGTTGCGCTTCTATATATTTAGTCTTCAGCCTTCAACTTTCCAGGAATTGTTCAATATCAGTACATTAAAATGCGCCACGATTTGAGACGAACAGCTTATACAAGATGGTGAAATAGTCAAGTAATTTGGTTGTTGACGTCATGCATACAAACAATGACTTCTCATGCTCGCCGGGTCTAAAAAATTAGACACTCTTACAAGCGAGTAAGTCACATCTCTCGATTATGAATCTATGCATAAGCATTTTTGCATTTGACTTGTTTATATCTGAGAGCATTGACGTTGTGACCATATAGTTTGGGACCAGAGTTTTAGTAAGAATGTTATCAGCGTAAAAGAAATAAGAAGAGAAAGTGGTGGCACGAACATGTTGTTGAAAAAATGATCCGGATAGCGACTGCCATTTCTCCTTCTTCTCGACCATCATCCTTCAAGAGTAAAAGCATTCTTGTAGTTTCGCAGATCTATGAATCTATGCGGTCTATTAACAAGTGTTCTCGTATCTGGAAGAAAAATATACCTTTGTTTTACGCCGCCATTTCTGTGGCTGCTTACAAATGAGAATACAGCCGTAAGCGGAGGAGATGAGATGGCTCGGTTGTTACGCGCTTAATACAATTTACTGATGAAGAATCATATATGCGTAAGTAAAATCACGCGTATAATGATATTATTGCATCGTTTACTCACACATTCTTTAACACCTCGTGCCACGCCAACTCTTACCAACAAAAGTAAGCTGACTGATGCAATTGGCAATCTGCATTGTATATGTGTATATGTGTATAGCACGTGTGCCACATAAATTATTCATGCAGGTTACGCGACAGAGATAATGCGAGGATGATAACTAAAATGATAAAAGGGTCATTCTTCGCCTGTAAGCGCGAGGGAGAAGTAAAGCAAGCTCAAACGCCATTGACAAGGTGGAATCCGTTTACGAAAGACGAATGGTCAAGAGAAAAGTGGTACTTTTTGAAACCGGAGAGTAGTGGGAAAAAAAGCATCCTACTTGCAATACCAGCGCGTTATAAAATATCGTATAAGCCCTTTTTAAACCAAGCTTTGACAATGCGAATCCGCAACAGTCAGTCAAGCTTGAAGTCAAGCGTGTTTCAATTGCTGCCGTTGGTGGTCATTTGTTTCAAACGGATCTTGCATCACAGAAAAGAAAAACACAGACGCAACCTCGTTTTTTTACTTTTAAGAACATTAGCAGGGTCCGTGCGTAGAGAGCACGGTGTCAAAGAGTTGCCACCGCTTTATATGCACTTGAAAAAGATCCTAAGTCTTAATCAGTACATTCACAAGGTCGATCAATACGCGAGAGATCTTTCTGTGTGAATTGGGATGGCATTACCCAACGATAGATTAAGTTTCCGTTATATTAATAGTCAAACATAGAAAGCTTCTCTTGTTGATTATTATCTTTTTGTCATTTTCTTATTGTATTTTAAAGAGAAACCCTCTTTTCTAGGAAGTTCCAATAGAAAAAGAGGGGAAAAACTCCTGCTGTCTCTTTTTTCCAGGAAGACAACAAAACCTGATCGAAGACGCAGGTAGTGAATGGTCGCTACGCAATGAGAGACCTTCGCCATTCACTAGTGGCGCCCGTGCCGTGTGTGCCCACAACGTCAACTAAGCACAAAGATACTTCAAGGTTGTTGTACTACGTTGGTGTAGCCTAGGGCATGTTTCCAACAACCTTGCTACCGTTGAAGCATCTTTCGGGTGAAAATATCCACCTCAACTCGGCAGATAGCTTTCCAAGTCAAGGATTCACACAACACTTTGCGCATCATAAAGTTTGTGTAAATGGAACTGCAGAAGAAAAAAAAATGGGAGGGGTGGGGGGGTTTTTGGTATTCTTATCCAGACAATTTTTTGCCGTCACGCTCGGGTCTTCAATGAAATCCATCATGTTGATTGGCTCTCATTTGTAAGACTCTGGTTGGCTCATTTTATGGACCGCTTATATCATATGACGCAACTTGGCCCAAAAGCAAAGGGAAGGCGAAGGAGATGTGTAAGTGATAGTCGTCGTGAAGAAGTCAAATACGCTACAGCAGCAGTGATCGACATGCTATGTATGTTCCACCATGCCGATGTACCCTCCGATACTGTCGCCGCTTATTTTGGAAAGAAGTGTCAGTGCACGCACCCGGCCTCCGCGTCAAATACAGGTACGTTTCGAATGCCAACTTGTTCAATGAGTAAGGAAGAAAAAAAAGATGCGACTGAACAACTCAATTAGAAATGATAAGGAAGAAAGACAGAATGCCAACGATGATTAAGAACAACGGATGAGTGCTCGTGTGCGATCTGGGAAGCAGTAACTACTGCTGAATTTCCAAGGACTCTTATCATTTGCCCTGGCGGACCAAATATCTACAAGTGATAATGTGGATTTTGTTCGACCCATGGAGTATTCTGCTGAAAGTTCGCTCGACCAATTCCATTCCACTTTTTTATAGGTTGCTGACTTGTATCTTTGCCTATTCAAATATAAAAAAATATCTCTTGTAACACAGTCAGTATTAGCATAGCAAGTCGTCGTCACTTTTATTTCAACACACAAACTCACTTCTCAACGTCTGTTAGTGAAGATACTGTTTAACGAGATTTCGAAGCAAACTTTGTTCTTGCTGCAATGGCAAATGATTGCTGGATTTACTAAATCGTTTGGAAAGGCGGAAAGGACACTGCTTAGAAAGTTTGAGTCGCGTCTCAAGCTTTTGAATGGAATTACAGCTCAGCAAAACAAATAATAACTGGAGCAAGTACCATTATTGGCAACCACGACCTTTAGTATTATCTCTCGAATACAGGTACATACACATCAGCACCAAGAAGTATAGAATATCCTAGAATTACTGTAAACAATCCAAAATAAGTGGTGGAGGAGAAGAAGACGATAGTCCCATATACATCCAAGCTCATCATTTGGAAACTTTAAACCCGAAACCAGACTAAACCCAGACCAGGACTTGCGCGTTCGCCTAAACCTGCTCACTCACTGGCGTTCGCTGCCAGGCCCCACAATTCGTTGCGAGCTACTCGCCCTTCTTTTCAACCTATTGAGTGACTTAATTCATCACTATGTCCTATATTTATTAGTAACGTAGCTGCTTGATATCATGACAATGCAGTAAGATATTTTGGATCGCGTGGGCAATGTATTAGGAAGAAGCCTGCATACCAGCGAAAATGCTGCTGTTTCCTTTTTTTTTCACAAACATCATCCTATCTTCAACTTGAGAATCCAGTGTCTCTTACACAGAAAGTACACAGACCGGTCTTTTTTATTCCATTGCAATCAAATAGCGTATCCCTTCATTACTATAGCAACAGCAGAAATAGTAAAGATGACATACCGATTAATTTTGTCTAGATAGTCTGCTGGATCGAAGCCTGGATGTGTGCATAAATGTTATGAGTAGGATTGCCTGTTTCCTTTTGGTCCTGAGAAATGGGTTCGAAAGTGATTGGTGCTGTTGCTGTTCGGTGTTATGGGATGATATATACATCTTTAATGGTGCTGTGTAACCCTTCTTTTCTTCACGTGATGGAAGAAAATATATCGGCTGGCATAGAACATATTCAAACGAGTTCGTCTGTATTTGCAGTGGTGTTGCTAATATTAAAAATGCCGATTTTGACAGCGATTGACTGACCACTGACGATTGTGTAAAATGTGTGTTGTATATTCGTTCGTCAAAGTTTTTATACATGTTCGAGTGCTGTGAGTACAATTGCCGCCTTAATGTGTCACTTGGTATGATAAAAACGCGTGGTCAACAACTCTGTATATATATATCGTTACAGACGAGATGATCTGCTAATCGTCGTCCAGAGAAATCGTTGTATGCAAACGTTCGTGAGAAGCACACGGTCTCAGTGACACCAGTAGAATGGTATGTTGAGTTGTCAGAGGTGCTTGTACGATCGATGGTGTGGAGCGTTCGTGATATTCATGCTTTTGTTTGGTAAAGAGGAAAAAGAGTAGAGATGTGCTGTTCTTTTTCAGCAGCACAGTCACTCAAAGACAGCACGATCATGGTTCACCGTCATATTCATATGTCGTTGTTCGACTATCCATATATACATGCTGGTAATCAAGCCAAGTTATAAAATAGAGATCCTTCTGTTTCTATTTTTTTACCAGTGCTCTCACACAATCCGTCGTATCAGTAATCCGACAAAAGAACTGCCGTTCACAGCACATCTTCTAACCCGCTCAAAAAGTATTTTTTCTTTTTTAAATTGATCGTCTTTATTAAAGAATTCTATTCTTCTAGTCCAACACTGTTGCCTTCAGCAAACAAAGACCGGCACTCTGAAATATATATCCACATCACTCATCCACCACACCCATCCACAACCAGCATGCTCAACACAATTAAACTAAGCACAGCATACTCTGCCCAGCAATCACTCTTGACCACTTACCTGGATCCTCACACGTAGCAATGATACAAAGACGTAGTATCTACATTATAAGGACAGCCTCAAATTAGAAAATGGCTCAAGCTGATCCAGCAATACACATACATCAAAAAGTAAAGTACCTTATCACACCAACGGTCAATGGTCTTGCATCTGTTCCATAAACAAACAGAATAACCTGCCCATCCAAATTCCTCTGCCACCGTCGCCAATACCCACAATGGCCGCCGTCAACGATCGCGCGTTTACAAGCACTCGTTCATCCTATTAACCATTCTTGCTTTCTAGGAAAACAATCCTCACAAGTTCTAACTAGCTAATAAAAAGGGAGACTTTAAAATAGAAAAACTTACCATGTGGATCATAATTTCGGCAAGCACAGCAGGAGCCTACAACGGAATCGCATGTGACAGAAAAAAGCAAGTTCATCCATGGAGAGCCACAGCAACCAACACAGTCTCAGCCTTGATCTTGATAAATCCAAAACGGCGGATGAAGGCATACAGCTTAAGCATACACAGGAAAGCTATGAGAAGAACAGGTCGTCCGTTGAAGCGGCAGAGCAGCATCCATGCACAGCATCTTTGGCAAGCACGGGAAAACCAAAAACAAGTCCGTCCAGCAAAGGGGCCTTGGAAACAAAGACGCCAAGTAGAGCCACAAAATACGTCCGGCAGAGTACAAGACACCCAAGGAAAAAAATTTGTCTGTACAATGAGTAGGATATCCAACACGTCCAAGATCTTAGATGGCGAGATTATTGCGAGATGAAGCAAGTCAAGGTATACAACAGCCAAAAAAAAAACCAGAGTGAGCACGAATACGTATTGCAGGTAACAGAGCAACAAGGGCGCCATATACGAGAGCAGAATAGCGTCACTACAGATGGCAGCCAGCACGATTGACGGTAGTGACAGGAAAAAGCAACGTTCTGTTAAGGCAAGGACAGAGCACTGTAGCAAGTGTAGGTGGCAAAGACGTGAAATGTTCGAATGGCGTCAAGCGAGATGGAGCTAGCGTGATCAGATGGTTATGAAGGACGTCGAAAGAAGCAATGTTGAGCAATAGTAAACAACAAAAGAACTTTGGTAAAAAAAAAGGCAAAGTAAGAGGGAAGAAATGAAAAGCGGCACCCCTTGTTTCAAGTATTCATATCGTCCTGGGGCCCCGAGCCAGCAGAGCATTGGACCACTGGAAGAAGTGCTTTCCCACATGCAGTATGACCATGACAACCGCCCTTTTCATGCTTTCTTTCCTTACTGCTTGTGCTACGCTCTTCCTTTTCCATTCCTCCTTTTCCTTTTCGCTACTTCTTGTTTACGCTTTCACGCCGTCACTCCACTCGGCTAGTTCTTTCTTTTTTACTTGTGCTACGTTCTTCCCTTTTCGTTCACTGCTTGTCATTTTCCCGCCCATTCCCTTTTCGTCACCGCGGTTTCCTTTTCGTCATTCATCCAAAACGGGTTTGTCAGTGTCATCTTGCTTTACCCTGCTTAATAATGCCCGACATGGGTTTCTACGAAGGTCTTTTAAAAGCATCGATCATGCACGTCCTCCGAAAAGACAGAAGAGCAGTGCGTGTTATGAGCATTCGCAACGGATTATCTGTAGAATTGAGAATCTGTAAAGTAACTGGTCCTGTCCTGTAACATCAAGAACACCAACAACGACAACAGCATTTCCATGTCTACGATTACGGTCACTTCTCCCCCGACACCACCCTCTCCTCAAGCCGAAACGCTACCGCTGCCTCCCCTGTCACAACTGCCGACAAAAAAAAGACGAAAGGTGCTTGGTGGCGCAATAACGAGGATCAGCTCTTGGTCCAAGCCTACCTTCTCGCCAACAAGGATGAAAAAGTTGGCTTCAACCAAGATTTCAAACCGTTTTGGCAACGCGTTTTTGAAGAGTTTCAAAAAGGCGGCAATGACAAGAACCGCACCCCCGAAAATTGTCAAGATGTTGGGAAATCGTCAGCGCGCGAATCGTGAGATATGCAGCGGCCGTGGCCTTTATCAAGAGAAGGCCACCAAAAAGTGGCGAGGCCGATGATGACAAGGTAGTCTTTTGCATAATAATATGCATATAACAGATTCGAGAAGTTCCTTTAAGTTCCTATAATAGAAACAGCGCATAATCGAGAGGTACAACGGCAAAGTTGAAGCACGGTATAGGCCGTTCAAGATGGCTCTTGCTAGCCTCTGCTGAAGGATGAGCAGAAATTTGAGTTCATCAGCGACAAGGCCAACGAGGTCAGCGTGGATGGCGAGAAGGATGTGCGGCCCATTGGTAATAAGAAAGCCAAGGCTCTGAAGAGACGACACGCCGAAGACGACGATCTCGAGAGCCTGGCTGGTGAACAGGTGAAGCTCGCCCGTCTGGAGGTCGTCGAGGAAGGAAAGAGTAGGAGACTTTTGGAGAAATGCTGGAGGAGGCGCAAAAGGCGAATGAAGAGGCGCAACTGGCAAGGATTTGGACTCTCTTAGTCTTGCTCAAGATGGTACTACGAGAAGAAGCAACAGGAGATCGTTAAACGAATGAGAGAAGAAGATGGAGAAGAATGTGGTGCAGGAAGGAGAGCCCGCAGACGGTTCGGAGGAAGAGAGAGAGATCGTTGACGAGGTCGTCGAAAGAACTTGGTGCATGGATATCCTCCGATTCTTCATTTGGTATTAAATCAATACCATCAACGCCACATGTCTCCTCGTGAGTATTCAATATCGCGGCATCAAGCTCATCAGATATTAGCCTTTCAGCTTCTTCTGCAACATTTGATTGTTTCCTGTGAGACTAACTCCCAAAGCATCTCTGGCCCTTTGCATGGCAGTAAGCTGATCTACATCATAGAGTTTGCCGAGTTGATTCTTCCGATCTTTTTGATTCGCATCACGGTATTGCATGGCCCTGCAGTATCTTTGCTGCAGTGGTTCCTCGGTTAATAAGGCCAAAATATTAACGTTTGTTGTTGGGTTCAATTCTATTGTCTATGAACTTACCGATATTGAGGCGACGTTACTGTCTTTGTTTGATTTATCGAACTTGTTTGTTTCTGTTGGGGACATTCTTAATATATACAATGCGAACGTTAATAGCATTTGAAGCGGAATATGGATAGCAACCGGAGCACATTATTGAACAATTGTTGTGATTTAGTTGACTGAGAGCGTACAGTGGAAGGCTGTCATTCATTAATGCGCAATATTGGAAAATACGGCGGATTCGAATTTCATCAGTGCATCCGCATATCCGGATCGGGTGCGCATGGCCCTTATATCCGATCTGATGCGATACATGAAGAACGCTAGTGAAATCTTGAGGGAAATAACAGCAGTCATTAATGACGGAACAAAGAATGAGTGTTATCAGCCTTGTTGGATACAACAAGTAGACTGTCATGCTAGTTTAGAAAAACCATTTTCTCAACGCCAGTATAATGAGAAGATATAGGTCTTTTCGTTTGTGTGAAGGCGGAAGGAGGGATAAAAGGTAGGACAGGAGAAAAAAGTAAGCATGTCGTGCTGCTGATACATGGAACCTGTCTGTGAGTCACATAAACCGACGTACATAACAAAGCGACTTGTGTACTATCATAGCACGTTTTTTCCTGAAGCAAAAAAGTATACAGTGGTCCCCCAACATAGCAAATCGGCAAAAGTGTTGAAGCAGTGGAAAAACAGTAGAAGCGAAATTGTTTTGGAAGGATGTATAAACACAAACAAGAGAATTTTCCAGAAAAGCACCGGAAAAGGAAAATGTTCAATATCTTTGCGGATTTTCTTGTGGTTTTAGAAAAAAATGAGGTTGGATAAGTTACTAAGATGAAAATGAAGTACAAGAAGAGCAGAGCAAAGTTGACTTAGGAAGTTTGGAAAGTTGAGTGGGGGCACTAAGTGAAAAGAATTTGGGGGGGGTATGACGTTATAGGCGGTGGTCAGGACGAAGCGGCAGAGGTTCGGCGTATGGCAAACAAAAGAGATCGTGTTTATAGCGAGAGTTATGAAGAAAGGCAACGGGAGCTTTTATTTCGAGAGCGTGAATGTGTATGATGAGGAGCTAACAGGGCGATAAGAGGATATGTAGCATGTAGCGGAAATAATACAGGAACGAGATCAGGACACCCGTTAATTTCCAACTTGAAATTCCCAAATGATAATTGTGAAAGTCAACGGATGCTAGGACACAATAGCTGTGTACGGATATTCGTAATCAAGACGCATCTTAATGCTACATAGATTACCAACGCTCATGAAGTTGTCACAATATAGGAATCGTAATTCGCATAGCCCATTATCCAATACATTTTCTGGCTGTATTGACTTATTTCCACATACATAATAATAAAATATACACCAAAGAAGAGACAATGGGAGACCAAGAAGCATTTGGTAAATCAGCGACTGCTTGCCGCCCAGTAGTATCACCGGAAATCAGAAAAATATATATACAGGGATAGGCATATCTCTGTTACTTATATCCTTTTGAATTATTCTATCATATAAAAGAACTTGAAGTCATAAGGAGAGGGATGAATATTTGTTTTCTATTGAAATATTCTTTAAATATAAGATAAACGATAACTTGTTCATGAATATTAAACTAACTTTTTGGATTCCTTGACCTCCGATGGAGAGGAAGAGATTATACCTAGTCTCCCTTCTAAACTACGGAAGTTACGCGGGAAGCTTCAAGAAAAACTGTTTGCTAGACAAAGCTCTTTAGACAGCTTTCTTTTTTGTTTTTTATGATATTCGCTTTAATTCAACCGAAATTAATAATGTGCAGCGCTTTATTTATTTAAAGCATATATGGAGGAGCACTTTGTATTATAACGCGATTAACCCTGGATGATACATTGAAAGTGAAATAAACGGGGGTTTGAAATTTACCATGTTATTTTTACCATTCCCAAAAATTTTGTTAACGGATGTGCAATGAAAGGGGGTATACTGTATTGTATTATAAACAAGTTGGGTGGAAGAAGAGAGCCAAGGCTCAATGATTGAGAAAGGCATTAATGTCTAGAGGTCAACAACGTGTACAAGATTATTGGACAGACACAAAGAATTATTATTGTACGAAGAGTGAAATCATATTTTTATTCATGGAAAGAAAGAAGACAACTATGGAGAAACAAAGACTACAAGCAAATAAGGCCAGCAAGCGACATGAACAGACAGAAGCTAGCTAAATCAGAGGTACCAATGGCGCTTCCATGATATCGTCACGAGACATATAAAACAGAAGCCCAGCAACGAGCTTACATAGACCATCGTAAAGGCGAGCGACAGGGAACTGGCCAGCAACAGCTGTGTGTCCATGACAGCATAGGCACCGTGACAACCCGATAAGCATGACCACTTATAACATGGCAACAGTAATCAAGTTCTCCGATCAAGGTCAGCGCACCCTAGTCGAAGGTACTGGGTGCAAGTGCAGAACGACATCTACTTTGAATTCACAACGGGTATAGAGAACTTGGTACAGAGTTGGTCCTTGATGTACACAAACTTGTGAGTAAACCACCAATTATGTAGCGCTCAAATTCATTTTTAAACCAACTCAACTAATGATGCATATCAATACAAGTCATACTTGAATGGTGACGCGTTAAATGTCATTGCGGCTGAACAGAACAGCGAACCCAAGCAGCAACGTAATCTGTTTACCTGCGCCATACCGACGACCCTACTGCATGACTGTAATTAGATAGATATGCCAGCTGGAAGATCTGAAAAACGCTGTTGGCATGTAATATGAAGGACCGTGAATCTATCAACAACAGTGAGTGGCCGACTCTTCGCCATTGTGCTATCAACGTCTCAGTGCGCACATCCACAATAAGGGGCCCAAAAAAGCTTGAACACACCTTGAATTGGTTGACTACCACAGTACATGGTTGACGACGCCGGTCGGCTTAGGGTGTGTACGGACAGTCGTTTGACGTGATGACAACTGAGCGTCGTATAGAGCGGGTTTTCCACTCATCGAGTGTCAAAAAGATCTGACCCTACGATGATTGTGAAGGATGAAAAGAAAACAGTACGAAAGAATGGTGAAGAATGTAAAAAGAAAGATAAACGGAGAACAGAGAAGACATGGTAATTTAGGATGTAAACGCTGAGTCATTGTCTCTGATAGATTGCGGCATTTTCATCGAAACCTAATAGGGCCCATCTTTCGTAACAAGAACAGCAACATATCATCGGTTATCTATGACACTATGTGTGTGGTACTATATATTATTTATGTCGCGTGACAACAATCGATGCCAAGTATTTACCGTACTTGCACTTGATAAACAAACAACGGCCCCTTCAAACGCCACAAAAAAGATAGTTTGTACTGTGCCACCAGTCAAAAATCTGTCGTCCAGTCTTGCATAAACAAAATGAAACAGTGCGTGATCATAGTGCGACTGCAATTCGAAAACTTATTTTCTAAAAGAGAAGAGATTCTAAAAGAGAAGAGAAAGACAGTATATTTAGTTGGGGTATCCGGCTATCTAGCAGTGGGGAAAATCAAGACATAGCCAGTTCAGAATTGACCATAAACAAACCGTAGTCAACCGCGGAGTTGCCACTGCTCTTCGAAACAAGCCTTTAAAAACACAAACAAAAGTAAAACACCTCAACCATCAACGTTTCAACATAATAAACAAAGAACTTCTTATTCGAATGTAAACAAAAGCAACACGGTTAGAATCATAGGGATGAAAAATACAGGATGGCTCACCTTGTTTCATTGGTTGATAAACAGCTGGTGAAGGAAGCGGTTGTTTGTCAAAGCTCGGATGAAGTCCAAGGGAACTAGGTCGTGTGCCAGATGCGGAAAGGCTTCATATGAGCTTAAATGATTATCAGACATGTTGATAATAAGTCCACCGAAGCCTCTGATAATAAATACACCGTAGTACTATCAGTAAACAATTGATGTGAAAGAATGTTCGCACAAGATTATAGTTGGTAACCTGGACAAGAGACACTTGTTCAATGAACGGCCATAATCCGATATGCGCCGACGACATTCATCCATAGCTCTATGTCGTTCGTATCACTTAAAGAAACTTGTAGCCGGCGACGGCCATTCTGTGATCTTATAAGCTACCATTATTCACAAAGAAAAAGGCGGCTGTTAAAGGTATCAACACCGCTACCTTGTAACAAATTATCTTATCAACAAAGACAAAAAATAAATCTGGAAGTGGTAGGTGGAAAGGAGGCAATGGCGGGTAAAAGCGGATAGTGTTAGGAATGCGATCCAATAAGAAGTGTAGAAAGAAAAAGCTTATCCCCAGGAAGACCGGTATCACGCGTTCAAGGGGCAACAGGCGGTGCGTGTATAAAGAAAACCAACACATTCGATTCGCCAAAAGCCTTATCATAGCCATGGACCCATGTGAATATGGGGATGGTCTGTTTGCTTTGCGATACGGTTATTTATTTTGCCACCAGCAATTTGCAATCATTGTTGGTATAGTCGTGAAGGTAAACCAGCTGTATTGTTTTTGAGAGCACACATGCGAATGCACAGCCTACGGTTTTCTCGACGACTCAAGCACAAAAAGGCTCATTTGCAACTACATAACTGCTCCAGAGAAAGCACCAACAAGTACCAAGCGCAATGGCAGTAGGAAGATGTAAAAATAAAGATCGCGTTTATTACAATCGTCACTCGATCTGCCCAATAGTTACAATTACATTATTTAAGAAAGTACAATAAGAAACCAAGTTTATTTGATGTTGCCTGACAAGTCGACCGACTTTTATGAATCCTTCGTTCCTCAAGGGAGGTTGCCCTCCCTTGTTTTCCCGCAAGCCTCAGTTCCCGGCAGAACCTACACCTTTCCCTTTCTTGTCCACAAGCCTCAGTTCCCGACAGAACCTACTCCTCCACAGTTCCTACAAATAAAAGAAATATGATAGCACAAAGGTCTGTCAGCGGCGAACATATACGTACCCACAAGGGAGGTTGCCCTCCCTTGTTTTCCGCAAGCCTCAGTTCCCGGCAGAACCTACACCTTTCC